GATGGAAATGGAGTGAGTGAAAAGTGTTCAAGGGAAAGTAGTTTCAGAACCGTAGGAAGGGGTAAAAGCTTCCGTGATGTCAAGGATGTACAAAATTTCGGAAGGGGGGGGGGGACTCTCCATGGGGGGCAAGGAAGGAACACGAGGAGATATATTAGAAAAACGAATGGAAAGAATCTTTTAAGAGACAACCAGACAAAGAGAAGGAGGTGGGGAAGATGAATGGTAACTAAAGGATTGGTAAAACTTAAAAGCACGACAGAGGCGAGAGTAAGGATGTTGCAAGGACTGCGCAAGATAGTGAAAACCGTAAGGATCATGGCGGTCCTGGAGAGATAGGAAGGCAGTGTCAACACACAAGCCAAGGACGGTAGTCGAACGAAAGGCACCCGATCCGAGGCACAACTCAGTATTGTGCAAAGCATAAAGACGGCAAAGAGCAGGAGAAGCAGACGAGTAAGCAGGGCAACCATAATTGAGTTTTCACAGTTCGAGAGAGGAATGTAAAGGGTAGAATGCACGCCTATCTACTCCAAGAAGTATGGAACAATACCTGAAGGAGGGTAAGGCCCTTAGAATATTCAACTCTGAATTAAGAGATATGGTGCGACCAAGTCAAACTAGTGTCAAAGATTAACCTTTAAAGCCTAACGGAATCCTTTTACACAAGAGGGTGACCAAGGTACAAAGCGGGACGAAGAATGACACGCATCCGAGCAAGTCATTGCACAAGTCTTAGTGGAAAGGAACTTTGGGCCATGATCGGTGGCCAAACATGACACAGCATCAATCGCAAGTTGAAGCCATCGTCGATATTGAGGGCGGAGAGGACGCCAGGAGGAGGAGAGGAAAGAAGACAATTGAGGGCAACTTCAAAAAGTGTTCAGAACACTCACTTGGGGCACATACTTTTATTGCTGAAAATTGGCAGATTGAGGTACCAAGCCTCACTCAAAAGGAACGACTAGAGGAAGATTACCATAAACAAAAGAATGAAGTGTGGATAGAATATGATATCGTGAAGTGGTGTCAAAAGCCTTTTCCAGATCATAAAGGACGGCAACAACGGAGGTCTTTCCAGCAAAACCAGTACAAATATAAACCAAGTTCACCAGGACATCTGTTGTGCTGTGGAACTTGCAAAAACCCAATTGAGAAGGGGTGAAGGTGATTATAGTGTTCTAAGAACCACATCAGACGAACGTTAACCATGCATTCAAACAGTTTCCAGACAACTCGTGAGAGCAGTAGGGCGAAGTCCTTACGGAATGTCCAAAGACCCTGGTTTCCAAACGGAGGACAACAGCATCGAGCCCGTCCTCGGGGACTGACGACGACTCCCAGACTCTATTGTACAGACTCGGTAAATACCGAGACGTTCATGGAGGGAGATGTCTAAGCATCTCCATGCCATTGGAGCCCGCCGCCGTAGAACCGCAGAGGGGCCGAGGGCCAGAACAGACCGAAGTTAAGAGAGAGAGGGGATCGTGATAAGGAATTCTGATATGAGTGCATAAATCTAAAGGATGAGATTTAAGGACAGACTTACATAGAAAAGATTGAGGAAGACGAGAACCAGAGCTAACAAGAAAAGTGGGAACCCAGTTCAGTCACACCCTGCAACGGGTCCGCCACAAGAGTACCACAAAGGTGAAGGACCGGCGAGACATCGGGAATGAACTAACCCACTATCTTGCAGACAGGCTTCCAGGTCTGCGGCAGAGGCGTTTCTGACGTCATTGTGGAAACATAAGACTTCCAACACTCACAATTAGCTATACGTATGCCCTTTAGCTATTCGCCTTCCGAAACAAAATCAGCTGTCTGCCGGTGGCAGTCTCTTCCAGCCAGCATGCTTGCAGCCAGGGAAGAAGAGAGGATGAACGGTTCGAGAAGGCGACCCCGGGTATTTGTCAGAACACAACCCCCCCAGAGTATGTAGACAATTTAAACAGCCCAGCAGGAGCACAGGCTCCGTCATGTAGTCCAGGTGTTCAAGATCGTAAATGGAACAAACCGTGTACCATTTACGCAAAAAGAGATGCGCAACAGATCATTGGAGACGCGACAGAAAAAAGTAAGGGGACGAAGGGAACATCAGAACGAATCAAGAGAGCAGAAGAGGAACGGGCCCCAGCAAAAGTCATAGGGAGGGGGGGAGAAAGGAATAGCCACGCAAGTGACCAGGACGAGCACCAAGCATCGGCTCCTGGAGCCAGACACAAAGGGGCGAAAACTGAAATCAGAAGTTGCATTTCATGGAAACTGGCGTAATATCCTCTAATATTCCATTGAAGAATAGACATCGACAAGGAGAAAGGACAACTAGAGAGGACAATGAAGAAACAAAGGGGAAAATGGAACAGCACGTTAAAGAAGTGCACCATCAGAGTCAGGAGTAGTCAGGGTTAGGGGGCATGGGTAAACCAAGTTAGGATGGAGGGAGGGAAAGGGAGTGGAAGGACTGACCAGAGGCGTACGAGCAGGGTCCGGAGGAAGAGGAGGGGGGGGGGGGCCAGAAGACAATCTAGAGTCATGGACAGCAGTAGAAGGAGCAGAAACCAGGGAGTGCTCCTCAATAAGGGCAGCAACCTAGAGGGAAGCAGGGGCCAAAATGCCTCCATAGCAGGAACGGGGGGGGGGGGGGGAGGCGCAACCACCGAAATGGGAGGGGATGGAGCGACAGAGTCAGTGGTAGAGGGAGGGGGGGGGGACCCCTACCACTGATGTGATGGACATCAGCCTGCACAGACAGGCGGCATGATGAGCCAAGAGACAGAGGCGAAGGATAGGAAGGAAGATTCGGAGGGAGACGAGGAAGAAGACACAGGAGACAAGACTGACTGGGGTAGGAAGAAGGGGAACCCCCGGACAGAGAACCATGAGGTGGACCCTGCGGGACAGAACAAAGGAGGCAGCGGTAGACGTGTCTGGGTCTAAGGGCTGGAAACGGTTGAGAGACTGAGGAAGGTGGGAAGGACGAGGAGAGGAAGTGCGCAACACAAGCATAAGAGACACCAGCGAAAGGAGGGAGACGGCAAACTTTGCGCCCTCACCTCAGGAAAAGACAAACGTCCCCGATGCTTCAAGGTGAGGACGGCTGCCTTAAGTCTAATGTACACGCGCGGGACAAGGTATGGTGGGGTGGGTCTCTCCGTAATTGAGGCAGTGAGCCTGGGGAGAAGTGCACTCCGACTTAGTGCCCTTCGTCCCCACACAAGAGAGACGGTACTGGAGCATCCGAGGGCACCATGCCAAAACCTCCAGCACTTATTACAGAGCCAAGGAGAAGGAATGTACTCTTGGAGCACCTGGCACCAGCAAGAATGACGGTTGAAGGGCCCTATCATCAGAGGTAATCTTGACAACCCGAAGAGACTGCCGGCGATGACGACGACCACGAAGGGGACAAGTAAACGTGTCTACCTGGCGGACAGAATGCCCTGGGCTTCGAGGATATGCCAAATATCTGCGTGGCAGTCCTTAAGATTCCTAACGTCGGTTGCAACATTGGGTGGGACAACAGTGGCATTCAACCGAGTGTTCTTCGAGACCCCTAACAGGGTTCTAGCCAATGCGGGATAAAGCGGCCAAGTGGGTGGCTGCATCCCGAGAAGCAGCAGCAACCACACGTGTACCGAGATGGGTGGGGTTGAAAGTAACAGAGGCATCTACTCAATCAACAAGGTGCCTATGGGGGGAGAAATCAGGTGTAGCATCCAGAGGGAGGAGATCAAAGCATTTGGCCCACGAAGCAGGACCAAACAAGGCTTGGTAGGCACTAATACAGGAAGGGATCGAGTGAGTGGGGCCATGTCGTGGATTGCGTTGAGAACCCCCAGAGAGGAGAGAGAGAAAGGGGAGGGGGTTAAAAGGTGCAGTAGTCAATGAGAGCAAGATGTGCCAGGGATGGGGCGGTCACCATTGTGGGCTTGTGGCCCGACCCAACTACAAAGGGAGGAGAGTCAAAGGGTCAAAGGAGGAGCAAGGTCGGGGCCCAATGCAGCTGGGGGATACAGAGCCCGGTCTTCCTACAGTCTTAGTCGGGGGCTTGGTCGCCCACCCCACGAGCCTGAGAAGGTACAAGAGAAACAACGTGACAAAGCGAGAGTAAAGACCTTCATTCACGAAGGTGCCCCCACAACCACCACGGAGCCACAATTAGAGGGAGGACACTCAACAAGAGACGTGTTGCCGATGCCCCCTAGGGGTGCGTCACGAGTATACGCCCCACAAACGCCACCTTACGAACCGTCAGTCCGTCGAGATCCGGTTCAGCGACGAAAGAAGTATTGACAATGAAAGCGTACCCTCGCTCGCGACGTTGAATACCACAATTCAACGGGTGCACGAGTATGCCTTCTCAAACACCCAGGCAACAAAAGGAAGGCCAAAAAGAATAGTCGAAACAGGTAAAAGGTCTGTGGGAAATGACAACTGGAAAGGAGAAGAGCGAGAAAAAACGATACATAAAGAGGAAAAGTCGCCCGGCAGAATTCTTGAGGACAGCAGTAGGAACACAAGGCCACAAAAGGACAGGACTGTCCCATGGAGCATCACTCCAGCAGCCGCCCACCTCATGGCAGCAATGGGCCAGAAAGGGAGTGAGGGAGGGGGGGGGGGGGTGTTATTGAGGAGAGAGAAAAAAACTGAACGGGTAAACCCAAAGGTGGTTAGGGATCAAAGAGGGAGAGGAAGGGGTCAATACATGTCCACTACACACATCACCCACGTTTAAAATTTCATCCAATTAAGGAAACAGTCTTGCCAGTATTTTGATTAAGACATTCGTAATAAATTTCAAGTGAAGCATTAGGAACTGCTGGATTAGATGACCCAGCATTTTACTGAACATTTTATCTTCTGTCTATTTTAACTAACAATTTAATCGTTTGATTACAAACAATCCAAGATTTCGCTGTATTCTCCATGAAGTAGTGATGGCAAATCAAACCATTTTATTATCATAAAACCATTAGATTACAGTAGCCAACTCTGACCTTTGTGGTGTGAAGAAGGGTAAGCGGCAGGAGGGTGCAGGGCAGGTGGGTCTTCATCACTCTAGGAGCAGGTAAAGCCTCGCTAATCTGCAGAAACACTCCGTCTTCTACCTTCTTCCCTGGACACATTTGACGAAACATTTCTGTCATCTGCCGAGGATTCTCAACAGTGCTTCTGATGGTCTTGCTGTCAAGCATCATGTCAAAGCTGGAATGTTTTGTTATTACTACAAGTACTAAACTTCCCCAGAGCTGAAATGCTTTCTTTCATTGCTTCAGAATCTATGAATTTCAGTTTTTTCTTAAACCATTCATCAGTTATGCGATAAGTTCTGGTAATACATTTCTTTATATAAACCCATCCAGCAGCACAAATATAGGATCCTTCATACATTGCAACTGATACCCGAATCGTTCTTAACTAATCGCATGATTTGTTTAAACTTGACTGTTGAGTGCAACAACTTTACATTCAAGTACTCATTAACATCACGTGCGCAAACTAAGTAACCTAGACATTTATACCAAATGCTAATTGTCACAAAACTATCACCATCTTAAAACAATATTAGGCTTCACTTTACAACTAATATGACCTATACCCACGCCCTTTATTCTGCTACAGAATATCAGACCTTTTACTACTTATTGTGTCCAACCCATTCTCCTATTAAGATACTTACAAAAACCATGTGCACCATATTACAAAGATCGACGTTCTAAGCAATTTGGTAGAATTTTTCACCATTTAGTCCGAATATAATTAAAAATATTCCAATGCCAAGTATAGCACATATACTATTAACATTGATTGCGTGTAATAGACCTAGGAAAAGACTAGTCGTGTTAGCAACTGAAGTAGAAAATTTGTTTCCAAATTCAATAGTATCGATTCCTACTTTTCTAATCTAGTATGTCTGCATGTGCTATTGTTCTCACCCTTCCTGTAAGTACTCCCAATACAGGGAGTGATGGGAGTGATACAGGGGTTAGCCAAAAGTACTATTTCGTAAAAACAACAATGTAGTGTGCGAGTGAAAAGAAAATTTAGGACAGTTTGGCATCAATGGTAAACTAAACTATCCCACCATGATTAAGAAAACCAATCACCCGAGTCACTAATTTTACACCACACACAAGACCCAAGTGTTAGGAGAGAAATATTTACACAAGATATCCGAAGCGATTACTTCACACGCTAGACCTGAATTTATGCAATTACAGTATAGAGCCAAAGTATTTGGACCAATCATTAAGATAACTGGTCCAAATACTAATTTGGTTATATATATATATATATATATATATATATATATATATATATATATATATATATATATATATATATATATATATATATATATATATATATATATATATATATATATATATATATATATATATATATATATATATATATATATATATATATATATATATATATATCTAAATTTTGCACAATTTTTGATAGTCACTATAGCTTAAGATAATAGGCTTTAGCGACTTTAGAAGTGCATTTAACAGTGTAGCCAGGGTAAGCATCCCAACCAGCAGTAACGTAAAGAAATTTATAACATTTATAGGGTAAATAATTTATTTCCTGCAACCACAAGTATTTAGTCAGCCAGGCCCTCCGAGTCCACCTAACATTTTATAAAACAGTTACGTATCTCGTCGCCCAGCACCGCCTTAATCAATATTAATCTTAATGAATTTACAATTTCCCAACTAATGAAAGTTAGTTGCAATGTTCACACAACTCTAGAGGCGGAAGAAATTATGCAGTGAAACAAGAAAGTTGTAGGTAAACTGTATTAGAGCCTAATGCATTACCTTATTTTACAGTCAAGCTGGGGTGAGGCCGTATTAATTACAGACTAGTACAAACGCTCGCAAAATGTGTCTTGACCCCTCCCAAGTTATATATAGTAATAACTATGCAGATAATCCATCCCCCCCCCCTAAAAAAGGAGAAAATGTTGACGCACTAATCTGAACAACTATTGAACAAACCATCTTAGGTCTAGTTTAAGAACGTAAAGTACAAACACAGGAAATGCTAAAAGGAATACCGTCACCCAGCAACCCGTTCTCGCACTTTCTTATTCAAAATTTACTGTACGAAAGTGCGAGAACCGGTTGCACCCAGTCTGATTAAAATATCTTAAGCGGCCAACACTCACCATTTTATCCACATCCGGTGCAATGATAAGCAGCAGTGTAACCGTTTTATGAAATTTCATCCAAAAATATACAAAAAGTCTGCCAATTTAGTCCTTTACTTTTTGCCGAGATACAAGATAGTTAAAATTTATGAAATATTTAGGAACATTTGTAAAATCTTCCCCAATATTATCTGGTCTTCAAAATTACCAGATTATTCAAAGATACATTCACAAATTTGCGAATTTACTGCCACTTTCTGAACTATCATTACGATAGTCTTTTTCCATAGAAAAGCGATCTAAATCGGGGCCAAGAACTTTAATCAGCTAAGCAGTAATAAAAAAAATATCTTGCCTATTTATTAGGAGCAATCAGACTACAATAGTAATTATACCACTGATCCCAGGCGTTACGAAGACAATCACACTGATAAACTAATAAGAATGTCATACTCTATATGCGGTGCTCTGATGAAGATGGGCAGGTCGGCCCTCTGGTTGTTGAGGTCGGGGTTGTGAAGCATCGTCCACACCAACTCCAACATCCAGGTCGTCCCAGACCTGGGCATTCCCATCACAAGTACGTCACCTTCAGTGAACTGGAGAGAAACCTTATTGTAGTATACATTAGAGAACACACAAGTGTATACATTTGACACCCACATATATACCAGGGGCGAGGAATCCAAGCACCGTCCCCACGACCACGTACATTACCCATATTCAAGTGTCATCAGAGTAACAAAGACAACACACCTTGAAGTTGTAGATGGTGTCGGCATATTTGGTGAAGAGCGTCGGGTAGAGCCAGCCTCCGGGCCTGAGGCGGACCATACCATGGTTGTATAGCGTCTGTTCCTCCTCCATCCTGGCCAGCCACTCCTCGCTCATGGCCTCCACCTTGTGACCACTAGCCAGCTTCGTAGTCATCTTCCTAGGTACAACTACACGGGTCGTTATGGCAGTCACCTCTTGACAATTCCTCGTCTATGTCAGGCATTACAACAGTGAGGTAAAATGTCAATACTTTAATAAACATGTTTACAAACCGACGGCGAGGATGATACAGGGTTTAGCATAGACGACATGACTGGTAGTCACGGCCGTGTCGGTCGATGACCTGAGTGTTATACGTGACCCCGGGAAGCGGGGGGGGGGGGGGTATGAACAATATTACTTGGCAAGGGTATTAGGTGGGGAATATTAAGGAAGATTATGTGGGTCGTGGAGGAGGGAGGAAAAGGTGTCAGCTTCACCGGTAACTGCACTTTCCCATTCAAATTATATTAATAGAACTACTCTACCAAAAATCTAAATTAGTCATTTCAAAGCTATTTTTTAGCTAGGGAATAGAGCGTAACCAGCGCCACCAATCACCACTCGTGGGGTGGGGATGTTTGGGCAGAAAGAAAGAACACTAAAGTCACCAGATCTATTACACCACATACTGAACCATGCAACACCTGCCTGTGTAATAGTCAATAAGAGCACAGTAATGTGAAACAATGCCGTGCAAGTTTACACTTTAATTCGAAATATTTCACGAGTACCTGATCTCTTTAAACAATATCAGCACTTTTTAATAAATGTTAATGTTCTAAAGAGTAATTATGTAATCAAGATATTACAGTACTCTACATGCATGATACATTAGGTGTAAATGTAACTTGATAAAGACTGCCAAAACCCGATGGTAAAAACTTCCCCTACTTGCAACTACACAGTTGCTATATTACCTTCACAACACTAAGTCCACCTTCAATCACAAGCCGACGGACCAAGAACGAGGTGGTATATATTTTAAACACGTCATGTTGTCAAGGAGTGGCCTAATGGCTGCGATAAATCCAGATATCCTCAATGATTTTTTTAAATACTGTAGTACAAACTCCCTGCCATTGGCGGGGAGCGTTACCAGCAATGTCTGAAAAATATGCTAATTCAACGCACCATTATTGCAAGTCCTCACAGGACAACTTAACCCATAATAAAGGTGGATCAAAATTATATTATCTCCGGGTTAAATGTGCCATCCGCTGTACTGTTATGCTATTTCTGCCAGACACTAAACACCAAGTTGCCCTACGAAGAGCGGAATATAACATGGCAAGGAAGGTAGTATTTACAGCTTGCAAGAACGATAGTTCGCGATGTGCAGTATGAGCTGCTTGTCTCTTACAGTCCCTCCAACATATTCCCTCCTCACAGCGTCGGTAATAACTATAGACATTTGTGCATTTCTCTACTCATATTGCACAGTTACACCAATCACAGCTTCTTTCATAAATACAGTGCAAATAAACCCTGCTCACTCCAACAGAACTACTGCATTTGGCAAATGGACTGTACCTATACGAAGTTATTAAAACAGTTACACGGTCCCTAAATTATTTTCACACTAACTATAGTCTACCCTGAGGAATAATAACTTAAAATACGTCTACACACTACAGCTCACCTTCTGACACTGAAGGTAACACTGAAGGAGAGTGGAGGAACAGCAACACAACTGCTCACACCAACACAAGCAACACATATAACTTGCCATTGGCTGAGGCTCCATCCAAGTCAACACCTCAGTGTTACCAACTCGGCTAATGAAGTGCTCGCATCCATCTAGTGATTCCAAGTCAGTGTACTAATTAACCTTAGTCTATTTTTTAAAGATAATAAAAAACAGCTGTAAGTAGACATAGAGAAAAATGAGGCACAAAAGTTATGTTAAGGAAGAACCTTAACTCTAGAGGACAATGACCTGTAATTGGAGGATGCATTTTAGTGGCTGGTATCTCAACCCGTCCTCGACTCAAGTCCATTACATTCAGCGGTCGACCCCACAGACGCATTCATAAATTTTAACATGCTGTTTATTCAAAACGGGAATTTTCTCAGGTATAAATTAATATTATAATATATTAGCATATTGTGTATATATAGGCATAGGTTAGGTTAGGTTAGGTGTTTAGGTTCTGTTGGCGATTATTTGTATTTGTAGTACGTGGGTGAAGCATTTATAGCGTTGTGGTTCGAACAAAATTCGTCAGTGAAGCACTTGTTCCGGATATGTTCGAACGTCAGAAGTTGTGAGTCGTGTGTAAACCGCTTTTCATTCATAAACAGGGGGTTTGGCGGGTGCATGGAATCACTTTTGAATCTTTGTTTGGAGGACGGGCTGGGTATCTATAGTGTGCGGGTCACTGGTCATTACGTGTGAGAACGAGGGAACGTGCAGCGATCTCACCAAAACCGGACCTAACAATTAATGAATCTTTACATGTGCACTATGGAAGGTAATGTAAACATTAACATGCTTTATAGAGAATACAAGTGTGTATATGTGTAGGTTTCCTCATCTTAAACAGCATCAGCATCAATAGCTAAAGTGGCCGAGTGAAGGTTTTTGAAGTTAGACAAACGAGCATCAAACAGAGAATTGTCTAGCGTCAACAGAGTACACTAAGCAGTGTTATCCAGACTGATAGACAACACCCACTACCATCAACATGGATACTTAATTATATTCGGCGTCTTACCCTGGGATGTAGTTCAGACAGTCACAGGTCGGCACCTTACAAATGAATGTGGTACAGAAATTCATAGTTCGGAGCCATTCCCTGGGATGTGGTACAGGAAGTCATAGGTACTAGTTCACCTCCTCGGCCACAGACTCGAAGAGGTGAACTACGCGTAATTTTGTCATAGAACTCGATCAAGTTTGTCAGGCATGACTTTCCCTTTCAAAATCCATGTTGCCGTTCTCTTACACAATTTATTCCTTCTAGATGGTACACTATTCTCAACCTGATGACTCTCTCTAGCACTTTATAAGGAATACTTGTTAGTGACACTGGTCTGTAATTTAGTGCCTCCTGTCTGTCCCCTTCTTGAATACTGGGACAAAATTTGCCCTTTTCTATAATTCTGGATGATTTCCTGTTTCGAGTGTTTTAATAAAAACCTCGTTAGTGGGCGACATAATAAATCTGCAGCCTCTTTCAGTAGCCATGGTGATATTAAATCTGGCCCAATTGATTTTGTTACTTCTGTTTTTTTTTCAGTTTTTTTTTTTTAATCTATTCCACTGTGAGTATTATGTCATCCAGTGTTTCCTCTGGCTTTTCATCACAAAACTCTGGTCTCCACCTTGGTTCCATTAAAAAGATCACCTGGAATTAACAAATCCACAAGGGCTGTGATGAGGATGCATCACGCTATTGTGATTTCTGCGTGTACTTCCTGGAATCTTTTGTTTAAGTCCTCACACACCTCCTTTTCGTTTTCCATAAGACTTACCTTCCCCCCCCCCCCCCCCCCCCCCCGCCCCTTTAGCCTTAGCACGTGGTCTCTGATTTGTGTTTCTCCTTATATGGCTATAAAAGAGCCTTGGTTGGCCATTAGCTTTTGCTGCTATGTAATTTTAAAATTGACTCTCAGCTTCCTTCCAGACTCTTCTATTATCATTTTTGGCTCTCTTTAGCGAGTCTCTATTTTCCTCTGATCCCACCTCTCGGTACTTTTCCATGCTTTTCTGTTCCTCTCTTTTGCTTCTCTGCACTGCCTATTAAACCTGGGGTTTATTTTGCCTATTTCATCAACCTCCTTTTAGAGTGGGATGTACAGCTCCGTTTTATATGTACATTTCTGAGCAATAACTTCCATATATTCATTTGTTGTCTTACCGTCCAGTTCCCTCCCCAACTGGACATCACTCAGCAAGTCCCATACCTTAGCGTAGTCTGCACGTCTGTAGATTCTCATATTCCTTAGCATATTTCTTGGTTTATTCAGATACTTTAGCTTCAATATGTACTGCAGCAAAATAATACAGTGGTCACTTGCTCCCCAGGCATCTCATACTCTATCTTCTCCATATGTGCCTCATTTTGGGTAAACACCAGGTCTTGTGTTGATGGTGGGTTATCTCCCCCTTACTCCTGTTGGTTCTGTAATATGTGGTTTCAGGAAGTGTTTATCTGCTGCATCTACCAGTTTTGCTCTCCATGTCTCTTCACCACCATGGGGATTCTTACTTATCCAATCTATTTCTCTGTGATTGAAATCCCCAAGTATTAGCATTCTGTCTCTCGCTCCTCGTACCACCATGGCTGCTTTTCCTATTACTTTCAGGCCTCCTGTTGTTTAGTATGTTTTTTGTCGGTTTAGTTGCTTAGAAATATGCTAAAGAATATGACAATCTACAGACACGGAGACTACAGTAAGGGTGGGACATCCCTCAGTGACATTCTCTCACTCTGGTTGGGCACCATTCCTTCCCCCGTCCCATCTCAAATCCTTATCCTGATCCCTTCCCAGTGCTATATAGTTGTAATGGCTTGGCGCTTTCTCCTGATAATTCACTTCCCCTCTCTCTCTCTCTCTCTCTCTCTCTCTCTCTCTCTCTCTCTCTCTCTCTCTCTCTCTCTCTCTCTCTCTCTCTCTCTCTCTCTTTCTCTTTCTCTTTCTCTCTCTCTTTCTCTTTCTCTCTCTCTCTCTTTCTCCAATTCCCTGTAACTGTCGTCCAAGTGAAGTTGCCTCCATATGATACTACTTAATTTTCCCTACACAAGTCTTTACCCCAGATTGGGTGCCAGATGTGATAATGTTAATTTAGGAGGCGAGAGCAAACGCCGAGGTCCAACAACTTCGTTCTCCAGTCCCTAGGTCGTTAGCTCCTCAATTGAATAATCAATCTAGAGGGGTAACAAATGGGTTCGAACACCAAACTTAGTATTTAATGTTTGAAACTCTGGGCTTGATCAAAGAGCTTAATCCTGTTAAATTAAAAAAAATGGAAGTTGCTCTAGCAAAGCAAAATAATGGAGCAGTACTCAAAGGTTGTTGACGAAAAGATACTTTTGTAACAACAATTTATTCAACAAAACTTAGTAATACACGGCAATAACAATGTTACGTTACTTTACTTCCAGAGTGTCACTCCAACAGCTAAACAGTACCAGGTACATCAGGACACGGGTCCCACCACTCTGACTGGTAATCACGAGACCTAGTCTCCAGCCCTCTTACATAGGCAAAAGGAACAAAGTAAACTAACTGAATAATAGTGAATACTTGCACTCAACCCTTGCAGTGGCAATCAACAATGATGGAAATACAGCAATAACAATATAACAACTTCTCACAAAGAGAACTCTTGTCACTTTGACAATCTTCTGGGGCTCCGGGCTGGGGCTCCGCTAGCAATCTGCTGCTAGGGGCTCAGAAGGCAGAATACTCAGTCCCTCCAACTCTCGGGATTCACCAGAGTCTCCTGGCTCCGGTGAATCAGGTCACAGGAGATGACCAGTAATGCCCACCACCGCAGGTCTATGCTCCCACCACTATGGGGTGCCACTGATTCACCCTGGGAGCCCTTCAGTTAACCACGGGGAAACTGCTGTTAGCAATTTCGTCCTAGACACGTGGAGAAGTGAAGGAAGACCCAGGCTTACCTTTTAACAATAACTTTCCCTGAGTCTTGCCTGCTAGACAAAAAAGTTGCAGGAATTCCTTTCCCGCCTGCCTTCCCTACCTTCTTTTAACAAGGTCACCAGCTGGGTTGGTATATCTGCACCCCAGCAATGCAGTTCAGTGGGTGTATTCTATACTGCTTGTTGCCAGAGTGTTGCTAGTTCAATAGAGTTGACACTGGTTTGTCAGCCCAAGATATACTTCCATAAAAGTCTGTGTGGGTTTACCTCTGTCCAGCAACGACATTGCTTGTTGCCATAGTATTGCCACCATCTCGGCTGTGATACTGGTCGGATGGCCCAGGGCACACTTATATAGAAGTCTATGCTGCTTTACCACTCTCCAGGCAATAAGACCTTCTGTAGAAAATGTAACGTTCGCTAGGTGGTACTATAATAACCCTCGTGTATGTTCAGAGATTATTATGGAGGCACACTTAAACACAATGCTAAAATGTGTGAATTTACTGACAAACTACATGATCACACATACATTTACAAGCAATACAGGACTGGGAAAATGAGAATAATAATCTGGAGATCGTCAGCAACTCTTCTTTTACGACCTCCAACAACTCCTCCAACTGGGCAGATTAAAAGAGGGCCACACACTCCCTCACAGAGGGGGACTCTTCATCAACGTCGGCTTCCTCCTCTTAAACTGCCCCGTCGTACACACTCGCTGTCCTCTTCAACAGTCCTGGACACAAGCTGGCCTGCAGCCTATCCTACTACTAATGTATCAATGTTGCTGCAACATACATAGGTAAATATCATGACATATCTAGCCTACTCAAACAAGGGGTAATGGGAGGGAAATTGATCTACTTTTACATTCCTGGCTCACGACGCATGTTTTTCGATGATGTGAGGTTCCCACGATTCCTGAGTCAGTCCTCGACGATCCAGGCACGTTCCTCAAGTCCTCAGGTGTCGTGAAGCCTTCGTGTCGTCGCCGAACCAATCCCAAAGATTCAGATATCCCAATCTTGGTTCACCAGTGGGCACGATATGCACACACTCGTCCTTCCACAAGGCGTTGCTCCTTGCCCTAGGAACGGTGTCATCCCTCCAAAATCCTCAGTGAACGTGTGACCCGGTAACAGCTAGA